GGCAGACCTCTCCTGTAAAGGGCTCCTTTGAATCAGTGTTTTTGGCGTTGCTGAGCTCTCTCCATCATAGCAGTCCAGCTCAGCTGCTGAGCACAGCAGAGCCATCGAAGAACCGCACATGCGTGGGTGTGACTGCGTGCCAGTAGAACTTTATCATGGACACTGAAATTTGGATTCCAAATAATTTTTGTGTGTCGCAAATTGGTATTCCTCTTTGTATTCTTTCCCCCAGCCATTTAAAAACATGAAAACTAGGGGCTTCATGGGAGGTTCAGTAGTTAGGACCTCATTGCTGAGGGCCCAGGTTCAGTCCCTGGTTGGGGAACTGAGATTGCACAAGCTGCATGGCGTGGCCAAAGTAAGTTAGTCAATTTAAAAAATATGAAAACTCGTTAGCGTGCATCCATGCAAAAAACACAGGCCATAATTCCCCCAGCCCCTGTTCTCAGCAGCTTCTAGACACCAAACAGTGACAGAACAGAGTCCCTGTCATCGCGGGGCCCCCGTCCCCGTCACTTGAAGGACTGCAAGTAGCACTGATTCCAGTAACTGAAAGTCCGATGAAAGTCGTTCTCATCAGTGGTCCCAGGATCAGTGTTTTAACTCACCTGGCTTGACTTTTTCAGAGTGAGTTTGGCACATCAGTCCTAGCCTAGGTTAGCAGTGTTGTGGCCGTGGGGTCTCTGTCTCCAGTTGCCTCCCAGCCCGCACTCCCTGCCCTGCCCTGTCTCCTCACCTGCCAGGTGCGAGGTTGCAGGGCTCAACGTGGAGCCGACAATGCAGAGATGATGCACTCATGGCTGCTGCCACTCAGGTGCTCAGTCCAGGGACCGCGTCTCACTCCACCTCTCCAGGCCCCGAGGTTCCCAGGTGCTCAGTCTGCGCGCTCATCACTAGCTCTTTCAAGGCACCACGTGCTCTGATGAGGGCCCGGACTGTGAGTCCTCACTCCGGTGCTGATCGCAGGGTTCTTTGAAGGCAGTTTTGTTACAAACAGGCTCACGCCTTCTGTTTGGAGTAGCTATGGAAACGTTAGAAGCTCTCTTTCTAAAGCCGACCAGACAATGAAGCGCTTGGAGTGTTGGTAGGATTAGAGACTCTGGAAGATGTTTAATTTTCTCCCCCTCTCTTGCTTGCTTTCTGTCTCGGTAGAGAGGGAACAAGAGGGCAATGTGAATATTAACCAGGCCACTTTCATCTCCCTGTGACCCTCTAGGCTGTCTGGGTCTGTGGGGGCGCCCGGCCCGGCCTGGCCCTTCCGGCTCCTAACAAGGGGAGTCATGCATATTCATAAGCCGGGCCCGGGGCTGGGATTCCCTGCTTCTCTTCAACGCAGATGTTGTGAGGGAGCAACTTAAAATTAGGAACTCAGAGTCCGTGGACAGTAGTGCAGGATGTTCTCACTGGAAATAGACACACGTTGGAGGATATTGGTGTGGTGTTTGGTTTATAGGCGGACAGTACAAACCCCGTACGCGGTACTCACTCAGGTCGAGACGGAGCACACACCTTCCATGTCTAATCATGCAGGTTGTCCGGCAGGACTTGGTGAAGTCTGCCTTAAAAAGGAAGTAAGGTTGGTTTCACTTAAGACATAAAGAATATGAAATGCACATCTGAGTGAGACCTGTTGGGGTCTCGCTGTTGTTTTGAGTATTTTTCGATTTTCAGCGCTCTGGGAAGTTGACCCCGCCGTGGCTGTGTGGCCTTACCGCCCAGACCCTTCCCATGCTCTCCACTTAACCCATCTCTCTACTCTTTGAACTCTGGTTTCGGAAGAAGACTGAACTGCTTTGGGCTCCAGGGCTGCCCCCGTCAAGTTATGCCAGGAGCCTGCTCCCCGGGAGACTGTGATGGTCACGTTTGTCACCAGAGCCCCGCCTGGGAGCCCCGCCCTCGCCCAGGCGCGCGTAGGGGTGGTCATCAGGACAGCCGTCATTCATCTCACTGTTTCCTCCGCTCAGAGTAGTGACTGTGTGAGCTTTCTACAGGAATGAGCTGGTGAACAGTGGGGTAGGACATTGAAACACCATTACAGGACATCCACAGAATGCGGGGTTACTCCCTAGGTGGACGTGACTGAAACCCACCCTTCTGTCCATCCACACTGGAATTCTCCTGTGTTTTGTCATCCTGGACCTTTTATTTACACGGTCCAGCTTCCTTGCCCTCATTGCATTTATATTGGTTTACTTTCATCTAATCTTGCCACCCTGCGAAGCCCTGAGTCAGGAAACCACACCAAGAACAGAAAGGAGAAGCACAGCCCGTGTGGGTCACTGCACTGCCACCACACCCCTCCACACACACACTCACACTCACACACACGGTGGGTGGGAGGTGATTTCTGCTCGCTCGGACATCAAGCACGTTTCCAGCGCCATGCTTGGAGCAGAGGACAGAAGGTCAGTGAGCCATCTTCCTGGCTTGTAAAGAGCTCACAGGCCGTTGGGGCAGACAGAAGTACCAGCAAATAAGTATGGCTCCCAAGATGTCAGCACAGACATCATCATCCACTGTGTGTCGGGTCTAGCTGCATGCTGAGGATGAGAAAATGGACTCAGTGTGACTCCTTCCCTCCAGAAGCTCCCACACACATAAGCAGATCAGCAGGTGCAGTGTGATGAGAACTGGTAAAGGAAAAAGAAAAAGGGAGAGAATGTTTTGTAACCATGCAGTAGGCGCGCCCAGCTCAAACTGGTGTTGGGGCTGGCCGGGACAGAGCAGGTGGGTTTCCAGGAGCGGGGTCTCAGCTGCCCGCCCTGGGTGGGGAGGGCCAGGTGAGAGGGAGTGAGTCCCAGGTCAGGGCTCGCATTTGCACCTTGCCTGGCAAGGTGATGTTGCCGGAGCCTGGGGTGTCATTTGTCCTGGAACTGAGATCATCTGACAGTCCAAAGCTCTGGAAGACGGCTCTTTCCTCCAGAGACACTCAGCACTGGCAGCTGGTGGTGACAAGTCTGGCATCCGATGCCTTGATTGCAGAGCTAGCCAGCCTTCCAGTTGTGAGGCGCTGTCAATGCATTTATGGGAATTTCCCCTCTCTTTCTTTCAATTAAAGTGAATAACCAGGAAGCTTCAGAAAGAAGTGTTTTGCGCCTGTCATTTAGCATTGGAGAGTTGTCACACACAGGAACTGGAATGCTCCAGGCTTACACACGGTCTTGCCCAGATTCACCCTCAGATATTTGCTCCTCCACTCAGTTCTCTTGATCCCTGCCTCATCTCTTTCTGCAACAAGGGAGGAAATGGGTTTGCATGATGATGATGTCCTGCATGAGAAGTGAATTGTAGTAAGTGATCCCTGCTGAGAAAGTCACTAATGTGTTGAAGATCTTTGTTGCCGAGGATCATCCTTTTCTCTCTCTCCCGTCACAAAATGGGGGTTTGGTGATTGTGGAGAAGAAGGAGAAGTTCAGCTTGTATGCATTTGAGAGTGTGGATTCATCTCCAGATAAGAGGTACAGCCTTCTAAAGGCCCTGGGCTTTGTCATCAGAGGGTGACAGGTTCTGGCAAGATGAGAGCATTTTCCCACCAAACAGGCAGTTATCTATAGGATTGCATCAGCGACCGTTCTCTGCCCTTTGGAAAAGGTTGGTCATTTGTACCCACCAGTGGTCTTGGTCCGCCTCCAGAGACCAGTGGGTCGTGGTCTCCTGCTGACCTGCAGCCGTTCTGACGGAGCGCTCACGACTGCAGGCCGCGTCAGAGGAACCGGGAGGGAGCAACCAGCAGGCACTTCCTGAGCCCAGAGCCGCCAGCTCCCTGTGTCCTGGCCGCCTGACTCGAGTGGATGGGCTCATGTTCTGCTGGTTTCCTTCGAGGTCAGTGAACTAGGGGCAGTTGGGTTCCCGCGCTTTGTGCGCATGGAGGCCTTTCTGTGTCACTCTCGTGCTGAAGAGAGAAGCCTCACTGCTGAGCCGGGTTTGGGACAGGATCCAGAGCGCGGACTCCTGAGTTCAGGGACCCGCTTGATCACCTTTGGGGGAGCAGATGCCTCGATGTAGCATCAGACAGGCGTGCCTGGGAAACACTGGTAACAAGGAGGGACTCATTTTTCCTGCTACCATCTGTCTGATCACGGGGCAGGGAGGCCTCTGTTTCTTGGAAAAAGTGTTTATTCCACGCTTGGCACTTTGTTCCTTCTGAACCAACAGAGGGTGCCAGGCCCACTGTTCCTCACGTGTCTGTCCCTGTGCCCAAGACTAGAGCAGTTCCATGGAAGGGCGTCACAGTGGCCGCCCAGTGCCCTCCTGAGGTTTCCACTGCTCTCAGTAAGCATAGACCTCAGAAAAGAGCGCTGTGATTCTATGTTCCTCGGAAGTTGTCTGTGTGTGCCATGCCAGACACCATACGCAACACCTAAATCAGGGCCAGGGCACAGTGAGGCACCGCATTCAGACTAAACAGTAAAGCCTTCAAAGGCCTTCTTCGTCTTTAAAATACAGAATGAGGGAAATTCCATGGTGACTCCCAGGAGACAGTTTTTAGCTATAACTGGGCTTGCTTTAAACAGGACGATCTTCTTGCCTGATTCTACTCTAGCATCTTTGTGACTCATTCTGTAATGCTCTTATTCCTTCCCTGGTGGCTCAGTAACAAGCTGTCCAGCACTCACACGAGTGTGTCTGTGTGTGCGCACACACTCCCGCACACATGCTAGTGTTCACACCCCCCCCCCCCCCCCCC